TTGTTGAAAATTTGGCACTGGCACCAGAGGTTAGATCTAAACCTGCAGTCAGAGCTCGGTTGGAAGACAGATTCAACAGCAGCCCGACAGAAAACCCCAGATGTCAAGAACCCCAAGAATCTGGAGTAACTCTTAACAAGTGTGTTGCAATTACTTTTAGTTTATGTTGTTAAAGTATGTATCATGTAGTTCAAAAGTGATTTGCTAAGTGAAACCTGTGAATAGTGCTTGTTTTAATATATGAGAAAGATGTGCTGGGCTTTGTTAAACTGTGCCATCAAACGTGGCTGTGGCTCCGCTGAGCTCAGCTTAGGCCCTTCTGTTTATTGCATAAGTGGGGTTCCAAAATTACTTTACAACTTTATTCTTGATAACATGTACTGTAAATAAAGTTGAGAGAACATTACCTAGTTTTAATATGCAGCTTGCTAAAAGCAAAGTAGATTTTTGATAATAATAAAAATAATAATAATAATGATAGATTCGGGTTATAATGTGGAGGCCTGACTATGGGGAAAACTGGAGCAAAAATAATTGTTTTACAACCTAAACCTATACCTATCTTAATGTGCTGACAAAAATGTTTTATTGAGGTGTGAAGCACCTTGTTATTGCACAGAATAAAATACCTCCTTGGCTGGTTTTTCTTCTCTTTTATTTGGCCCCTGAAGTGGGCAATAGAGCAATAACAGTGATTTCTGTTTACAGTAAATGAAAGTGGTTTCTTGGTGATAGTTTCTAGATTATTTGTAGCTGTACTTTATTTCTGCACTCATTTCCAAGCAGTCAGCCTGGTATGTTTTCTGTGTTTGTTTGTTTTTTCTGAAGTTTAGTGACATTGATCCGCCAGCCCTCAGAAGTGGTGGGTGTTCCTCTTCACCAGCAAGGGAACAGGTGTGCTGCACTAGGGAAAAATAAGGCTGCACCTGCCACACATACCTTACCATTTACTTACCCGTTCTTTACCATGAATGCATGTTCTGCTGCTGGAAGTGCTAATCCTTCCCAAGCACAGGTAACTCTCCTCTGCCCAGTTCCAATGCTGATAGTATTAACTTCCTGGGTGTAGTAGAATTCTGAAGGTTTGTGGTAGAGTGTGGCTGAATAGGGATGATCAGAATGATCAGTAATGCAATTTATGTGATAATCTTAAAGACAATCGAGTCACTTTTGTGGCATTTTTAATTACATGTGTCCCAGTAAAGAGCAGTAGGCCATCAGATTTCTTTTTTCCTAGAGTTTATCAGTTTATAATCTGTTTCATCTGTGCAAGGCAAGAGACATTTTTTTGTAGTTCCTTTCTTTCTAATTAATTTTGATGATAGAGGTATTTCCCCAACCACAACTTGCAGTAACCTCTGAAGCAAAAGTGATAGCATGGCACTGAGAAATGTCAGAGGTATCCCCAAAATTCATCACTGTCAAAACCCCATGATTATGTGTATTTGGGATTTATTCTGCCTGAAGAAGTCATACAAGAAGCTAGCAGAAATATATCAAAGTAGTCTACTTTGTTCTAATGTATATAGTCCTATAAGTATTTCCTTTTTGTTTTCACAGACCTGTGGAACATCTTGCACTATTTTGGAAGCTGCCAAACATCAAGACCTTGGGATACCCAAAACATTCCCTTTTATCTATCAGGAAGGTGAATCCACAAAACAGACAGTAGGCACTATAAATAAAGCTTTGCCTGAGGAAGTTTGGATTAAAGTTGGGGGTAAACCATTTATCTTCTTTTCACTTAGTTTTCTCTTAGTCTTCAAATCTGATTTTTTTTTTTTCCCTGAATGTGTGTCATTTCTGGAATTAATATGACTTTAGTGAAAGTGTGAGGTGGGGTTTTTATGGCAAATAAATTCTATAGGCAACATGGGGCTGGATTTCTCCAAGGAGGTTCAACACCTATAAGTTTAGCTGTACTTTCAAAATTGTTTAGCACCTCTGGCTTGAAATGAGGAGACTTGAGGTTAAAAAGTACCTTTGAAAATCTGGGCCTTGGGTCAGCAGCTGGTTTCTTTAGAATCATAAAGGTTGGAAAAGACCTCCAAGATCATTGAGTCCAGCCTTTGACCAAACACCACCAAACCCCATGGCAGAGGGGTACATTCTTTAACCCCAAAGCTGATCCAGCAGACCCAGTCAGTATCAAACTGAAGAACATTTTAAGGGCTGCCTCAAGTGCTCACCAAGGGCAGGCACAATCTCAGTGGGCTCTCTGAGAAAATAGAAGTTGTTTGGATTTTTGGAATAGCAAAAGTGCCTTAGGTCTTCTGCAGGACATGTCTTGCTGTTGGAATCAATGTAGGCTGGCAGTAAAGCTTCAAAGATTACTCCACATAAATAAAGCACCAAAAGAACTTTCCATGATCACTATTTTCAGGTTAGTGGGAGAGTAATAAATAGGTAATTATTTTCATTTTTATTTTTCCAACAAGACACCTTATGCAAGCAAGCCATAAACAGAAGTTGCAGCCGAATAAATCTGTTGGATTCAAACATGGATCGCAAACCTCTCGGTGAGATTCGGAACACCCGGGACAACAACCAGAGCACTGCAGCTGCCCAGAGCCCTTGGCAGTCAGCACAGCCCAGCTCCAGTGTGCAGGTACAAAGTGGTTCCCAGGATGGAAGCGCCCAGAGAAGGGAAAGGCACAACCGGCTGGAGAGAGACAGGAGGTAATTCTGGGAGCAAGGGCCATGAAACACCTCTTGAAGGCTGAAATACTGGTACTGCAGTACTCTGATTATACAGAGTAAATGTAAACTTGACATAATTTGTGTTAGCTCCAAGAAAAAGCAGTTCAGGAGGTGAAGTTTTGGTGTTTGTTAGAGGGAAAAAATAGTATCTCTGTTTCATTCTGATTCCCTTTGTGTTTTCACTCTGTAAACAAACAAAAGGAGATTTCAAAACATTTCACCCATTCTGTAAAGATAAGGTGACTTGCGTGTAACAAAACTAATACACAAAGCTTGTAGCAAACACGAAGCAGTGCCCAAAGTCCATGGCTGGTTGCACATCTGAGTTTTCTTCCGTTTTCTGTATTTTTCCCTTCCCTCTGGCTCCTGTTTGATAACCATGGGTATTTGCCTGCAGGCGCAGGATCCGGGTTTGTTGTGATGAGCTCAATCTCCTCGTTCCCTTCTGCACCATTGACACTGACAAGGCAACAACTCTGCAGTGGACAACTGCATTCCTCAAGTACATTCAGGAAAGGCATGGCGACTCTCTGAAGCAGGTTTGAAATCTCATTTCATTTTTGGTCTTGATAAAAATGGAAAATATTTTAAAGCTGTCATAGCCTATAACTGAGATGGAAACCTTCTGCTTGATGCTGTTTGTGAAGGACCCACCATATCCTTGAAGGTTCCTTTAAATTTTTATTTTTTATTTCTGTCAGCTATTTGAGTTCACTAGTGAGAAATTTCAGACTGTCCTCAGTCACTATTTTCAGACTGGATTTTAAAATTAAAAATTTTAGTTACACAATTCCTGAGCATGATTCTATTTGGACAACAATATGAAATTAAGGTCATCTTCAATCATTCCTCTTCTCCTTCATTTTCTCTATTTTCTACCTCTTTCACAGTTAGTTCAGGGGGGGATCACAGCTACATGCCCACACTGTATTGAGTGGGTGAGCACTAAGAGTTAAAGGGTTACATGCCTTAGAAGCAGCTCCCATTCTCCTCAGCAGTAGTGGCAGCTCCAGAGTAGCTCTGGCTCTGCCAAGAATTTTGGGAGCGTGTGTATTGGAAAACCTGCTGGTTTAGATATGGATATGACCCCTCTTCCTTCCTGTTGAAGGCCCTAATGAAACAAAAGCAACCATCTCAAGTAATTATCTACATTAAATACAACATTTATCTTTTGTATTTTGATTTTTTTTCAGGAATTTGAGACTGTGTTCTGTGGTAAAACAGGCAGGAGACTAAAAATTGGAAGACCAGACTCATGTGTAATGTGTCCAGCACAGGAAAACCGCACAGCTATGGAGACCAAATAGCCTGACCTGCCCACCCTGAATTGTGGGGCAATCGTCCAAACTGTGTTTTATTCTTTCCATTTACATGCTGAATAGGAATTTGAAAGTGTAACTTGTAAATATATATAAATAGAAATTTAAAGGAAACATTCTCTATTGCAAATGGAAATGGAAGTTAACTACCAGCAATGGGAATCAGTGCCCTGTTCAAAGGGCTTTGGGACCAGAAGCTACAAGAAAATGTCATGTCTAAGTATTTTAACCCTTTAGGTAGACAAAATTTGCTTGTCCTGCTTTGAGGTCTTATTTAATTCTTTGCTTTTTTTTTCTTCTTTGAAGATGATGCACTACAGAGTGGAAGACTTGTAGAACGTTCATCTTCCTGTTATGTTAATGGCTAGATGCAAACTCATTCTTCCAGTGTAGAAAGAAACTGAAGCTACTATATCATAATCCCCATTTTTCCATTTAAAATGTAAATATTGTATTGGTTATTTGGACAAGTGCATAGTTTCTTAACTGTGTGTATTATGAATTTTGCATTTGCATACATATTTAACATAATTAGCTCCAAAGAGTAGTGCAATGGTGTTGGCATTTTTAAATTCAGTCCTATCTTTAATGTGTGCCACACAACTGTCCAACAGGTTCTTGTGTTGTTGCTTTAGACCAAAAGTGATACATTTTAAACAGTAGATATTTAAATGCACAAAGTATTTTTATATTTAAAGAGAAATATGATGCTTCTTTCATAGGCTTTGGCATATAGGACAGAAATAGAACTGTGTGTGACCTGAAAGGGTTTATTAATTTTTTTAAAAATAGATGATGCTAGCAAGTTTTGAAGTATAAAAAGTTCTACCAAAATTAATACTGGTTTAAATCACGGATAAGAACAATTTTGCAGCAATTTATGTCCAAACAATCCTAGTAAAACCAGTTCTGGAAAATGGACTTTAGCCAAGTTAATTTGATTTGTATAATGACACTTACAACATCACAAAGAAAAGGTTAAAAAAAAATCTCCTTTTATTTTTACAACAGTTCATACAGGTGGTTTTGGCTGGACTTTAAAAGAGCATCCTTTCTTAGGTGGGGTTCCATCACAATTACTGTGCAAATAGCTGAAGTAGAGGTCATGAAAATGCTGTTACTTCATTTCCTTCATTATCATATGGAAATATGCAAAAATTCTTCCCTGGAAATTAAAATATTTACATTACTCCTTTTGCAGAATTTGCTTGCAAGAGGATTACTGTTTACTAGTATTGGCAAATATTTGAGTTGCAATCTGAAAATTCCTAGCTGGCAGCACAGACTCAAGCAATGGTCATTCCTTAGGCCAGAAGGTTGATGTTAAAATACAGGATATTGAAATGCCTGATTTCCACTGATGGAAGAGGCAGCTCGGTGCCTGAGGGTCTTAACAACGTGTCTGAGTGCACAAACCTGCAGGACTGAAGTCAGTGGGAGCAGCACCAAGGAATTCAGTGGAAAAGGCCCAAACTTTCTTAGGAAAAACTCGTGATCTTTAGTACAGGGGGGGTGATGGTACAAAGGAGCAATGCTTCCTCTTGCAGGTCTCTTGAGCAAAGGGAGGAAGGAAAGGTGAGGTTGTTTAGCAGTAAAAATTCTGGGAAATAATTGGGGGGAGGAAAAGATAGTCATAAAGCATCTTTTAATTAAAGTTTTCATCTGATGCTTTCTTTTTCATAGAACTGTGTCAGTCTCCACTTAATAGAATAGAAGGAGCATCTGTCCTTTTATCACTAGAAGGATTCTTTTTTCTTACAATGCACTGTTTATTTAAATATTCAGTCACTTCTTCACTTCTTGTACTGTTGGTTTATGATTTTTTGGAAGTTGATGCTGCAACAGCTCCCATGCAAGCCGACGTGTCACATATTCCTGGAGTTCCCTGAGCACCAGTAGTCCCAGGAGTCCCAGGATCCCCTGGCAGCCCGGGTTCACCCTGAGCACCATCACGGCCGTTTTTAGTAATTCCAGGCACACCAGGTGGTCCTAAACAAGAGAGGGGAAAGATACATGAAATGTTTCCATCTTTTTTAATATCTGTATATATGTGTTGATTTTAGAGATCTTAATATACTTTGAGTGTCTGTACATCACACTTGTTATGGCCTGTTGGGTACAAGGTGTTTTCAATAAATTTACCGTGAATCTGGAGTATGTGCTTTGGATTTTTTTATCTCTAATTTGGTGAAGGGATGTTTTAGCTGTGTGAGCTCACAGTTTATTAACATGGATTAATTATTTTATGGAAGATTCTGAGACAACGAGGTATAAATATTATGAAATTTTATGGTATAGATTTTGTGGAAGAATTAAGATAACATGGTTGTAAATATTTTGTCTTTATGAAATTCCGTGAATGGAGAGCCTACTTTTGGTGCCTGCAATTTATTCACTGTACAGGTGTAATCCCATATAAAAACTGCTTTAACGGGTGAGCAAAATAAAGACTATTCTTCCAAATTTCCAATAGATATTAATTTGCATAAGTTAGTCTTGAATCTTTTAATAAATGAATCATCAGGAAGCAGGCATCATCCTTTCCCTTAATCTGGAGAGCCTCAGAGTTGTCACACACTTAAATTAGTGGTGATAATCTATTGCAGAGCTGTCCCTCCTCAGCCTTCAGCCATGGAGCATTAAATTATTTCCCCACACTTACCCTGCAGTCCTTGGTCACCATCAGGCCCATCGATACCTTGGCCAACAGGTCCTTTGTCTCCCTTTTCACCAGTGTCACCTTCAATCACAAACACAATTCCCACAGTGAGCTGTGCTCAGCAGCTGGAGCCTCCAACAGCAAGGGGAGAGAGCAAGAGGAGCTACAAATCCTCTGGGTGCTGCAGGATCTTTGCTCACACAGCACCCTCCAGAAGCAGAACTCACCTACAGCTCCACCAAACCGGATTGCTTCTCCCCAGTGCTGAATTCAGCACCAGCTCACAATTTATTTCAGTAAGCAGAAAAGAGAAGCAAATGGTTTCACTCTTAACTTGCCTCTGGGTCCAGGATCACCAAGCTCTCCTGGTGGCCCTCTGTATCCAGGGGGCCCACGAGGACCGGGATGCCCGATGCTCCCCGTGGTTCCAGGAGGGCCTGGGGGCCCGGCTGGGCCAGGCCGTCCCGGCATTCCAGGAGCCAAGGGCTTCCTCAGGTTAGCAGCCAGCTGTGCAATTTGCTCTGAAAAACACAATCAAACACTGCATCTCCAACACTTGCACTCTTCCTTTAGGCAGAACTTCCTGCCGCTGCTCCTGGCAGGAGGGACCATTGCATCTGTCCTTTCAGCTCACCTGTAGCTTTTTGGGGTTTTTTACATCTCCACAGATGGAGGTATTGATCATAAATCTGCAGTTGATTATTTCTGTTTCTAAAACAACTTTAAAGGATGTCAAGTATTCTAACAAATGACACTTAAATAATTTCCTGAAATAAACTTTCAGAGTTTAACCTCATCCCAAACAGGGGATGTAACCTCCAAATGCAAAACAGTCACTTTGAAGAAAGAGGGACACTCCATGAGGACCTGCTCCAAGGAAACGAGGTGCACTGAGGAGAGCTGGAGTTCAGAATGACACAGGTTAGGGCAGGAGGTCTCACACAACACTTGTGCCAAAGCTGCTTTCAGTGCATTTTGACCACTGCCACGATGAATCATTAAAAATTCTAATTTTAGAACAACAAAAGACATCCCCAAAGAAGTGACCTCCTGAATAATTTCCTTACACTAAAGGTGTATTTTTTTTCATATGAAAACAGAAAATTAACACATCTCAGAAGCCATGTATTTTCACAATCTACTCATCTGGTAATTAAAGTTGGTTTTCTCTCAGTAATACTCACCATTTATCATTTCCCCACAGAGTTCTCTGATATGTTGTTCACTGGCCTCTTTGCCCTGCAGTTAACAGAAGAATTTGTCTTTGTAGGAACCTCCTTATCAATAACCAGCCCTGGCAGAAGCTGCAGGACACAAAACACATTTCCAGGAGCTCAGGAAGCAGCAGAGGGTCCTGCATGAAGAGCTGGGGGTTCTTTCCCCTCTTCAAAAGGTGACAGCTTCCCTTCAGAACTCTGCTGTACAAATGGCAGCCATTAATTTTAATGTTAGGCCAGATATTAATCTGGGCTTTATTTGGCCTTATTTTTGCCTGCTGAAATGCAGCACCTTATTTTTTTTATATCATCCAAAACCCCACAATCCATTTTTTCACTTCACAGGCTCCCTAACAGTGCTGCAGAAGCAGCAGATACTTACAGGAGGTCCAGGTTTTCCTGTGATGCCAGGGACACCCCTCTCCCCCTGGTGACCCATGGGTCCTGGATGTCCGGGGATCCCTGGTGCTCCAGCTGTCCCATTAGGTCCTTGCACACCCTTTGGACCAAGTTCTCCTCTTTTTCCTGGCTGTAGAGAAGAATAAAAAAAGCCAAAACCACTTAAAATGGAAGTCATGGTCCATTCTTTTCTCATTTTCTTTTTAGTTCAAACTTTCTTCAGGTTTCCTGAATGGATCTGCATGATCAGATACATTTCTTACAACCTAAGGCTGTTTCTGCATATACAGGTCATGGTAAGAGGAGTCCTTGCTGCAGCAAAATTATCAAACAGATTTCAATATTTTGAATGCCACAAATCAGCATTTTTCTCATAGATTTTATAACATTATTGTGAGGAAAGCCCGCTCCTAGGCAATGACACCAGAGCAGAGTTTATTCTATAGTTACAGAGGTCATGCTTACTCCTAAATCCTTCAGGGTATGAGCCTCCAGTGTCTGACACTTACCTCTCCTTTTTGGCCAGGGGGTCCAAAGGGACCCTGTCAGAAAGAAAAGGGAGATAAGAAAGAGTGATTCATTCAGAAAATGCACATCTGAAGCCCAATCTCCCAAGCTGCTGTGACGTGTGCAAGGCTTGGGTTGCCCCCTTTTCACAGCAGGGTTGGAGACCTCGGGTGATTAGTTCTGACTGACCATCTGTTATTTGAGGAGTCTACTGAATTTAAGGACACCTACCAGCTCTCCTTTGTCACCTGGGAGGCCATCTGCTCCAGCAATGCCCTGGGAGAGAGAGCAGAGTTAGCACCACACTTACTGCTGGCAGAAGGATCTCCCTGTGGCCTGGGGAACCTGGGGCAGAGGGGGGCTCCCAGCAGCCACAGCTGCTCCAGCAACAAGTTCTCTCTTCCCAAAACTGGCCTCCACAGTAGCTGCTCCCCTGCTGATGAGGCAGCTGGCACGTTGCTCTTTGCAACAAGCTGGGACCTGGGTGAAAGGCTGAATCCCTATGGATGAGAACCATGATGGGCCGGCCATGAAAGACATCCACAGGCTGGCACTGGCATTCCTTAAGGAGGGAACCTAAATTGCAGCTCCCCCTGCTCCGTCTCACAGACAACAGGGTTTGCAGCCACAGGCAAATGTTGAGTGTCCTGTTCTCACAGCCTCCTCAGCAGGGTCCCAACAACAGCTTCATCCCACCCTCAGACTGCAGTGATCTCTTGGTGAGGAACATCCCTCTCCACTCCTGGGGACAGGAATGCAAAGGTGGCCAAAGCTCTGGTGACATCCACTGCACCATCCTTTGCTGATCACCTCCACCAGCAGCTGCCTGAGCAACCTGAGCGAGGCTGGGGTGATGTTGGAACTCAAAATGTCCCTCAGACATTTTTGGAGGTTCCGGGCCCAGGTGAGAAGCGTTTGAGACCCTGACAGGCAGCTGAAAACAGCTGTGATTTTGGGTTTGAGCCATGGAATGAGTTACCAACCTTGCAGGAAGAACAAGAAGTCACAAAAGTTTAGATATTATAGTAGAAGTAGTTGCAATTAAAGGGAAGAATTTTTGAGTGCTGTACAGGGGGGTTTGGTTTTGTACATGGGGGTCAGAGGTTTTAAGATGGAGGGATTTGGGCCTGCCTTGTCCTCCCTCTTTCTTCTTCCTCACCTCCATGTTCTTGGTGATGTTGGCACTCACAGGTTGGTTTAGAGTAGAAAAGCACCATTTAATATAGGTAATAGGCATTGGGGAAAAACTGTAACCATGTAACACGTAATGTACCATATAAAAGACAGCAGCAGCCCTGGGCAGGGAGAGAAGAAGCAGTCGGGAGTCAGAGAGGATGTCAGGGTGTGTGTGTGCCTCTGCCTGAGCTGTGAGCAAACCACAGCAGCCCGAGAAGGAAATATTTTAGCTAACTTGCAATGAACTGCCTTGAGACCGAACAATAGAGACTGCTGAGCTTTTTTTTGAAAGCACAGGTTGGAGGAGAGATTCCCTGCAATCACTGCCCTGCCCGAGGCAGAGCTGGCTCCTCACAGAGCTCTGTTATTAGAGCAGATAATGAACATCGGTGTGATGACTCCACACCTTTCCAGGGGAAGTTTTCCAAGACAAACAGAGATCAGGTTGGTCTTTCCCCTTAGCAACAAAACAGAGACCACACTGGTGCTGGTAAACCAAATCAGCAAGGCTTGCTAGGAAGCTACTCTTTCTGTAAGAACACAGCCATGCATTAATGAAAGCCGTATATTTGATTAAAACTGGCTCAAAAACTCACTGCTGAGGTTAAACCAAGCATGGAAGCTGAGCAACAAAAAGCAAAAGATATAAGTAGTTTGTTAGTGTGCCAAGCTTTGAGGTTAGGGTGAAATATCCTTTATCAGGCACATGAAGCTGAGGAAAAGCTGCACTTCTAAACATAATTTGGGAGGAATTTGATGTGAGGAGCTCCTGCACAGATCCTTGAGGCTACAAAACATACAGCAAGGGCCTGGTGTTTGTCCCACAGCATGTTCATGAGTCTCCATTAGAACAGCAACATCTGTGCCAATGCAGGGAAAATGGGACCAAAGAGAGTTTTGGTTTTTGCTGCAGGAAATTTTCATTTGTGGAAGAAAAAGCCATTTGTGCTGTCAAAGGCTGTCCCTGAAATTTCTCTGCTGACAAGGGCATGAAAGTTATCACTTACCTGGTTCCCTTTGGGACCAGGAACACCAAGAGGACCCTGAAAATAAGTAAGAGAAAGAAGCAAATGAGCTCAAACTGTTATTTTCCTCTGAATTCTTGGTGTGGTCAGACACTCGCTCAGCAAGGGGTCAGAATCAGTCTCCCAGCTGCCAAGTTAGAGGGTACAAATCTCATTCACAGTTCCTAGAAATAAGAAAGGATTTCAGCACCCCTGCTAGCTCTGTGACACTCTCCACAGTCCCTGGTTTGTGTTGTGGGGTAATTTCTCAGCCTGTGATGTGAGGAGAAGCTTGGATTTACTTGTGGTATAAAACAGACAAGAATATTTTCATACCACAAGGGCAAAAAGCCAAGATGCTTTTTCAAGGCCTTATTAGACTCTCAGTTTTCCTAGGATTTAGGATTAGGTGCTCCTGATTTAAAGATTAATGGAACAACACGGCCACAGGAATAAAACACATTTAGATGATGAACTGATTATCACCTCAGGAATAATCCAGGCAATCTGGAAAATCCTTCCATCTTTATCTACCTGACATTCACAGAGAGACATTTTCAGTCCTATTTGTGACTTTTCTGCTCCACAGGGCAGAGCCAACAAGGAGTTCAGGAGAACCCCTGATTTTTTTCTCTACTGCAAAATCTACATGTGAAATTCAGCCATTTGACCCTTCAAACAGGATTTCTACATCACACTCATCAATCTGGCATCTGCAAACTGATCTTGTTTTATTAACTAGGTCTAGAGATGGCTCAGCAGAACAGAATCTTTGAGGAGAACAAATGCACACAACAAGGACATTTTATTTCATTCAATTCAAGCACTAAGTTAAAAAGAGAAAGGATTTCTATTAATGGAAAATAACTCAGATAAACAGAAAATGGAATGTAGAAACGCAAGAGCAGCTAAAGCTTTATAACACCCGTTTTATGCTTGCTGATGGCAAAAGCAATATATTCCTTTCTGAACGTTTTAATCTAAATTTTATACCTCTGACTTCACAGAGTCTCAAGGCTCCATGACAGTTTATGGCAATAAAACACATTTCAGTCACCAAAGACCAGGCCCTGCAAGGAACATTCCCTTAAAGACAAGCTTAGCCCAGGGGATTTTCATTCCAAACTCTAATTCCCTGCAGTGGTCATTCCTAGCAGCAGGAACAAGGAGTTCAGGACTGCCAGCTCCATGTCTTCACACATTTCCTCTGATCAGTGCAACAAAACTCGTGGTTTTGGCCAAGTATTTACTGCTCCAGTGGGGAGCCCAGAGATTCAATGCCCCAGGTGCTTGCTGGCATCCAGAATCCTCAGGAATTTGATCATAATAAAAATCCTTAGGAAAAATATTTGTCTATTGCTGCCTCAGTCAGCAGCAACAGCCAAGCCCTTCCCCTCCCTATATCCCACTCCAGCAGGACAGTTGATGTACTTTATCTCAACACTATTTTATATCTTACAGTCAAATGCACTAAATCACTCCTATTTTTCATGCCAGCAAACACATTTACTGAAATGCTGGTTTATATGCCTGACCAGTCAGTCCAAGGACTGTGAAAAAGCCTGTCAGTGCTTAGTTAGCTCAGGCATGAGGGGATTTTTCTTTTTTCACAGAAAAGTCACAATTGATTTCAGCAGAGTTCGATGGGTTGGCTGCAGCTGGGAGAGGCCAATTGCATCGATCCTGTGTGTGCAGTTCTGCCTTTATCCATGTCAGACCAGCAGTGCAGCGAGCCCAGGGCAGATCTCGGGGTGCTCTGTGTGTCCCCAGCAGCACAGGCTGTTTGTTCAGGCTTTAAAAACACAGCCTGAGGGTTTAGGGTCACCCAGCACCACCAGCACAGTCACCATTAAACCATCAAGTGTGGGAGTCCAGTGCATCCCTCTGGCTGCCCTGGCAGGTCTGGGACCCTGGCAGGGCTCAGGAACCCCCTGGACAGAGCCCCCAGAGACACTGGCTGTGATCTCTGTCCATGGAAAAGAGTTTTCAATCTTACAGGATGAATTACAAGCTCTGAGTGTTTGATAAGAGTAATAATTAAGTGTGGCACGGGTGAAAAAGTAAAATTTTAGGATTCTAGATAAGGGGTCCAAAGGGGACAAGATGGAGGAAATTGGGTGTGTGTTGTCCTTTTTCTCCTTCTTCATGCCCTCCATGTTTCACTGTGGTGTTGGCATTTTTCTGTTGGTTCAGGCTGGGGACACACTGTCCAACGTAGGTGACAGATATTGGCACGTTATTGTAAATCCAGCACAGGTAGTTTCTGGTATTTAATGTTTGTAACATCCCACTGAGGGCAGAGCCCCACACGCTGCCCTGCAGGACAGAGCTGCGGCAGGGCAGCAGAACATGTTAGAGATAAACAGAATAAACAACCCTGAAACCAGCACAGACGAATTATGGCTTCTGCTTCGGCAGCAGGGCAGAAAGACAGAGACTTTCTACAATCCCAGAATCATCAATACCTCAGATTCTGACAATCAAAGGCCACATCCACACCTTGTTTGAACTCCTCCAGGGATGGTGGCTCCATCACTTCCATGGGCAGCTTGTTCCAATGCTTTACAACCTTTTCTGTGAAAAAAATTCTTAAAATCTAATCTAAACCTTCCCAGGTGCAGCTTGAAGCCGTTTCCTCTCATTCTGATCAACCAACAGTCACATCTTAGAGTAACTGCACTGAACTTCAGAGCCAGAAATAAAACCTAGATTATTTTTTATTGCTTTATGCACAACGTTTTCCCTCTCTCTGCTTGGAGCAGCTCCCTGGGTGCTTCATGCAGGGGCCTCTTCCCCTCTGAATGTACATTTTTCACCACAGCAAAGCCCTGAATGCAGCCAAAAGCCCCACAGCTCCACAATAACGCTCCTGTTTCACACTTGCAGCCCACAGCCACTCCAAGAGGCTTTTTTAAACCTGCCTGGAGCCAGCACAGAAGGGCCATTGTGGAACCCCTGCGGTGCTGCTGCAGTTGCTTACACAGAAAGCAACTTAAAGCTTTTTTTTTAAAAAACACTTCTACCTTAAAGCTGAGGAGGAGGGAGCTGGTGAACACATGGCTCCTGTTCTCCTGCAAGCTCCCAACAAATGCTGTTCACTTTGCCCTGATGGCTTCTTTCAAATGAGAATGAACTCATTTAAATAAAAAGTCACATTTATTGTGAGGTGGGATGCCCAGGTATTTTGCTGTTCAGAAAGAAAAATCATTGATAAAACTCTAATTTAAAACAAACAAACAAACAAACAGAGAGTCTAATCAACCATCTGAGTAACAAAAATTCATTAATCAGCTCTCTTGTGCTCCTGGGGAGCAAGGATTTGTTGGAATCAGTGTAAGGAACAGGGAAAATTCCCAAACACTCTCTATTCTGGCTAGGATAGGGTCTGGAAGTCACTTTTAAACAATCCACCCTGTCTGAAAATAGTGGGAGTTTCTGGAGTGGAACAGAGCCCAGGAGCAGAGGGGACAGGAGGCACGAGTCCTGCTCTGAGGTGTGACCTGGGCAGCCTCAGGGACACCCAACACACATCAGCTACACCAGGTTTGGATCCCCAGTGACCTCTGAATTCCCATCCCAAACAGGAATGAGTCCCAGGTGAGTTGTCCTTACCCTGTCTCCTGTCTCTCCACGGATCCCAGTCGGGCCAGGAAGGCCGGGCTCCCCACTGGCACCTTTGGGCCCCTGTTGGGAAAACAACAAAATCCAAGCTACAGCTCACAGTGCCTTCAACACCCTGGATGTTCACCAGTCTCCACAGCAGGTTCAGAAAGGTTATTTTTGGATGTGTCTGTCCCTTTCCCCCCAGGACCTGGGGACCACTTGTGTTGCTTGGTAGAGCTCATTCCAGCTTCTCTCCTGGTCAGGCACGTGCCGAGGTGCTCCAAACTTTGCCCTGGGTCCTGCGTTAATAAACCTCTTAAAATTAATAAGCCTTCAATATCTGTGATCCCACCAAGTGATGCTCCCCTCAGCCAGTGCCAGTGGGGAGTGGAGGAGTTCCCACATCCTTGGAGGAGGGAGGAAGAAATAATGGAGACCCCAGTGCAGCAAAAATGAGGAGGAACTCACTGAATAAATACAGGCAGGGAGTGGAGCAGATCAAGGAGAAACTGAGGTGTCTTTACAAAGATCAAACTCAAAAAGTCATAAAAACCTTAAAGCTCAGCTTGTTCCAGCAGCTGCCACAGGCTGGGACACCCTCCCCAGACCAAGCTGGCCTTGGACCCTTCCAGGGATGGGGCAGCCACAGCTTCTCTGGGCACCCTGTGCCAGGGAACAGGCTCAAAACTCAACCCCTCCCTCTGCAAACAAACACTAAATATTCATTTCTCCTGCAGGCAGATTATCTGGCCTTTTGCTCTTTCCAAATGAAGGTAATGAAGGTGTCACATTAGTTCTGGCAAATGGAAAGACATTTCTCCCATTCCCTCGTTGCCATCACCCAGTGTCTGGCCAGAGGCTTGCAGGGAACACTGACCTGCCAAAACACCACAGTGACCCCTCCACCACACTCACCTGGAAACCTCGGACACCACGGGCTCCTATGGGGCCTTGGAGGCCCAGTGGTCCCTGCAAAGAGAGAGATCAGCTTTGGGAAGGAGGAAATTTAGGGCCAGGTGAGTCAGCTGTGTCACTGAACTGGCTCTGTGCTGCAGCCCCTTGGCACTGCTGCTGAACCACTGCAAAGTTGTGTTTGGTGCTGGCTGAGCTTTGTTAATGGCTTTGTTGTTAACAGCAAGGCTTGTTTGGATAATCAATCTTAAGAACATACCATGCTCATGAGTAGTAGAGATCAGGGACAGCAAAAAGTGGCAGCATGACAGAGCATAGACAACATCCATTAGAGGGATCTGCTATCCCAATATTATGCTTTTAATTGATTGCAGGGAACTCCTGCAAAACATGTGCTACAGGCCCTTGGAAATGAAAAATGGCAATTGCATCCATTTGCTTGGACATCCTTGGTTCCAGCAATGCACAAAAAGGCAGCAGTTTCTGCTGTCAGGCTTTTGAGAGCTCACCAGACAGAACATGCACTTTACCATTAGGAGTCTCTATTGCTTTCTCCTGAGAAAAATCACATATCCAATAAAGATCTTGGATTAAAAAAAAAAAAAGTAATTTACGCATTTAAATCTCATTTTGTAAACTGTCTTCTTGAAATAGATGCCTTCAGCAAGCTTCTGTCACGAGGCAGGGCTGCAGCTTGGGCTCCTTTCACTGCCATCCCTGCTGGGTGGAGCATTCAGGGACACAAATAAACCTCAAACTGGCCACTGACATAAAGCAGCATCATCTTCAAACAGAGCTGAACAACTGCTCAGGTATTTTTGTTGTTGCTGGTTTCCACTTTGTTTTCTGCTTGTATTCAGTAAGGAACTTTGAAAGTTATAAATCCAAAGCTTTAGGAAAGCTGAGTTAAAAGCTGCATCAAAAGTGACTCTGCTGAGCTGCTGATGGGAGCTGGAGGGACCTGACAGGTTCTGAGAAATCCTTGGTACTCAGAGCTAAAAAAAACTAAATTATTTTGAGCCTTAACACTGGAAAAATCCTGCACCTCCCTTGGAACAGCCCAGTCTTAACTAACAAATTATGATTCTAATAAAACAAGTCAGAAATGAGAAGCCCAGGTTGGACATAACCATGGGTTCAGCTGCAACTGCACCCCTGTCAAAACTCTGCACCAACACAATTAGCTCGACTGCTTTTGCTTTTTGGCTGTAGTAATGTGGTACCTTTTGTGAAGCCAGCCACTTTGTGAAAAATTGCAGACATAAAAGCAAACATTATTAATACAGCTTATTTCTAAAGGTGATTTTCCTCTCCTTGGAAGTTAAAGCAGAAGCTGCTCACAAACAATAAATCATGCAGTTCAATTTCTTCCAAGTGGCACGTACCAGAAATCATATTAGACTTGCTGTAGGCTCCTGGATTTCAAAATGAGATTAAGATGGGAACAAAAAAAAAAAAAAAAAGAAAAAAAGAAAAAAAGAAACACAACAAAACCACTAGAAGATCAGATCCAACCCCAACAGCAGCTGGGGAGTGGGAAGATTAAAAAGGTACCCAAGCATTTTTAGTAGTGGGAACAAAATCAGGGTTTTACCCTCCTGATATTATTTGTTATCCATTGAGCAGGGACACCATGCAGTTATTCCCAGTTTTGTTGTATGTATGGCTGCAGGTTTTGCAGGGAATCCCTCTGCACTGCTCCAAGGAAAGGGATGCAGGACCGGGGAGGATTTCAGGTGCCATGTGCTGGTGGCAAAGTCCTTTGCAACTGTGAAGCTCTGCTTCACTATTGCCTCACGTCAGCATGGGCAGAACCTCCTTACTCCTGTGTAATGAGGGGCTTGCTGCCTGTCCAGCCCCTCCTGGCAGCTCCACAAACCTCCTGGGCAGCTGCAGTTTGCTCTGCCAGGCAGAATGGCAGGGATCACTTGGCATTTGCACGGAGCTGTCAGTGAGAACAGGATCTGACCCAGCTTGGGGGAGGAATTTCTCTGCTGCCAGAGCTCCCCAGAGACACCACTGAGAGAGAAAGTGGCCTTTTGCTGGAGCCAGAGAGTGACCCCCCAGCACAAACCCTATTTTGGCACCTCTCTGGTTCACAGCCAGCTCTGTACTTACAGTTGCTCCCCTGGGTCCTGGCAGGCCTCTCTCACCAGGAATGCCAACATCGCCCTGGCAGGGACACCAAAGTCAGCTGTGATATTTAGGAGCCACAGACCCACCCTTCCCAGCTCACTGGGACATATTCCTGGATCCCAGGCTGTTCAGTCCCAAACTCCTGCCCCACTGGCCCATCTGCCAGCCCACTGCTGCTGGGTTTTGCCCAGCACCAATGCCCAGCACCCTGCCCAGCCAGCTCAGTGCTCCCTGGGAGCTCACACCAGTGGGATTGCTCACACCCATGGGATTGCAGGTGCTGCACCACTGGGAGCTTGATTTATGCAAGGAAGCAGCATGTGAGCTCCAGCTCCCCAGCTTGGTTTAAAACTCACAGCAGAGGCCATGCTAAGTGGAAATGTGGGGCACTTACAGGGATGCCTGGCTCTCCAGAGGGACCTGCCTCTCCCGTCTCTCCAGGGCTGCCCTGCAGAGCACAAAGCAAACACTCAGTTAGGGCATCACATCATTTCTGTCCTGCCTGAAGCAACAAAAGGAGGAGGGTGTTAAAACCTGAATCAAGAAATATAAACAGCTTGAAACTTTTACAGATTTAAGGCAAAACTGACAGCACCAGAGAACAGAGGAGCTGCACACTCTCTCTTGGCACCACTGGCAGGGCAGTGTCCCCATGTCCCACATGAGACAGGGATGCCAGGACATCCCATCACATTCACTCCTGAACCCCCTCCACATCGGGAGGAGATTCCTGCACCACCTTCCTGCAGTGTGCTCTCCTCCACGAGGATTAGCAGCAATAATGATGCAGAGGGAAGAATGCATAAAGGAGAGGGACAGGGGGAAAAAAGACATCTCTCAGAGCAGCTTTGTTCTGGACTGCTTTGGTCCGCCTGAGGTTTTCTTTAATCTCACAGGTAGGTGTCAATCTAAAGCTCCATGGAAGTTTTTCTCCTGAGGTGAGGGAAAATGTGCAGAAGGCAAGATGAGATCATTCACCAGCTCCTGCTGGTGCTCAGTCTTTTGATTCCCAAGGATCAAGCCTCCTCCTGGGACTTTGACAAAAGGATGAGATTTACTGAACCACTGATGGCTCTCCTGTGTATCTGCTGTGTCTTTACTGACCCAGGTGCCAGCCCAGTTATTTTACCTAATTCCTGCTCTTCAGCCCCAGCAGAAATACAGAAATCATTGCTTTGGGGTAAGTCCTCCCAATCCCCCAAAGCTAAAAAGTCTTGCTGTGACCAGGTTCCCCACCAGACCCCATCATTAAAGAGATTCACTTACTGGTTCACCCTTTGAGCCTTTAATACCTGCTCTTCCAGGCAGACCCTGAAAAAAAATTATGTTAAAGTAATGTCAGAAGAAGTGAAGTTATTAAATTTGTTATTCTGGTCTGATTTGACACACAAGGAGCAACCTTTGCTTGAAGCAATGGAAGGTTTATACTTCTGCAGCTTTCACTGTGAAAATTATGACTTCAATGCCTCTCTTGCTGCCCTTGCAGCTCCATGAACACTAATCCTTGGCATGAGAGCAAAGAGCAGGAATATACAAATGGACCAGCAGCAGCCACATTTTGCACAGCAGAAACCTCTCTCCAAGGGAGTTCAAAATATTCTGTAAATGCAGGAAGAAAGGAATACTTGATCTCTTTGAAATAGTGGGAAGTATGGGGAGATGAAGCACTTTGCCAATAAGCACTGGAGTAAGGCAGTGACGGAGCTCAGGATATTATACCCCAGATCTTACTCCCTCCATAAGAGAAGCACATCAGTGGGATGTGAAAGGGAAAATCCCTCTGAAGTTTAGATTTTAAAGAGTCAGAGAAGCCAACAGCCAGGGAATTACTGTGAGATGCTCCAGGTGTTCTCCAGTCCTGCCTGGCACACTCCTTCCCTGTCTGCACGGTGGGAAAAGTGCATTTCCTCTTGCCTTAACTAGAGCTCCTTGTGAAACAGCCCACAGAATGACCCTCCCCAGCCCCCAGGAAGGATCTCTGAGCTGCTGGAACCCCAGAGGTGGCAGGTCCTGCTCCATACTCACAGGAAGTCCGTTTGGCCCCTTCTCTCCAGGAGCACCCATGGGAGCTGCGTCACCCTGTGGATAGGGAGAGGTTAGGAGGGATCCTCCAGCACTGGGAAATGGCCTGGCACAGGCAGGGGGCACATTCCCAAACAGGCATTTGTACTTTTCTCCCTCCCTGCATGCACAGGACCAAGAGCTGTTGTGTCTAGAGGAGTGAGCACCCACTGGACAGGAGCTCCCAGGTGTTTCCCTGCTTGCTGCAGCTCCCAGCCTGCCCTGGCAGCACACGTTCAATATTCCTGCAAGAGCACTGCTCAGGAACCAGGCAACCAGCACCTTGTCTCCAGGCTATTAAAATAACTCTGTCACCAGCTCTGAAAAGGCGTCTCTGAAGGCCTGGAGTCAGCCAGCAGGGATCACTAAATCCAGGGGCACAGCTGAGCTTACATCATATGTGCACCTTCCTTCTTTAGGGAATTCCCTTGGGATTAACGAACAGGAGAATTTCACTCTCCTTCACTAGTGACAATATCAGAAAACTTTTTAGGAGGAAAAGCTTTCCAGCCAAGCTTCTTGAGGAGCATTTGCAGCACAGTCAGCTCAGTCTCAGGAATCTTCCCTGCAGTGTTTAAGTAGGACTTTACAAACCTTCTCACCATCGAGTCCAGGAGCTCCATCCCGCCCATCCTTGCCAGGCATTCCCTGCAATCATGGACAGCACACCTTTAGGGCAGGAGGAGGCTCTGTGGTTTGCAAAATACATTCACATCAAAGAAGCTTCTGGCAACGAGTCCAGCTCCAGTTGTACTGGGAGATTTTGATCAGCAGCAGTACAACTGTGGCTTAACCCAGCTGGGCTTACACAGAGACCCACAGAGCAGAAGCCTGACAGCAAAGGTGGCAAGGAGCAGCTTTTTGCCTATTCTATCTCCTCATCTGCAAGCAAGACAAACAGCAAGACCTGCATCCCATTTAAGTGACTTACAGGTTCTCCTATGAGCCCACGAGCCCCTGGGTTTCCTTTTGGTCCAGGTTTACCCTAGAAAACAGCAATAAATCCTGTGTTAACCTGAAGAACAGCCAACAAAGACAATACTCGCATTCTGTAGGGGCATTTCATTCCATTTCAGCTGGGTCCTCTCTGCCCACATAAGTATGGAGGTTGTTTTGGGACACAGCAGGAAAGCAGCCCAGTGCTGGATACAACACCTGGGAAGATCCTTGATCATTTCAGATCGGCTCCCTGTGCTCCAGGCTGTAGCAGCACTTGGACATCTTATTGCTCAATCATCTTTAGTAAGAGTTAAACATCTCATTTTTGAGATGATGCTTCCATCCCTTTCAAGCAAATTAAAGGGGTACAAGCCATAACAAACCTGTGGAACAGGTTTTGGACTGGAGCAAAGGGTGTTTGAGTGCACTTACAGTGTCACCTTTGGGCCCCCGGAATCCCTGAGGTCCTTTGCTCCCTTGGTCTCCCTGTGACAGAGGAGGAAAAGCCATTAAGCACCTTCATCACCCAGTGACAGAGGCTGCTGCTTTGGGGGTGAAATGAGGAGGTTTTTGTGCTGTTTGCTGGTGTCAGCAGAGGTGTGAGCACACACGGTCCCCGAGAGCTGGGCTGCACTTTCTCTTTAATTCCTGACACACTCCCTGCAGCAGGGACTTTGCCAGCAATCCCTCAGGGCAGAGACCATCTTCCCCTTCATTTAATGAAGCTATTTCGTTAAGCAGAAACAGAGTGGGAGAAAAGCTTTAATATTTACTGAATAGATCCTGCTGGATGTAATGAAAGGTTTGGTGAGAAAGCACCTCATTTTGGTTTAGTTTGGATGAATTTCTTCTATAATTGGAAGACTAGGGAGGGGTCCCCAGAGGGTGGTGCTGCAGAAGGATGGGAATTGCATCCTCAATACACAGCTATTCCTTCTTGGAGCAAAAATCCTTGAGAGCTGTGGGCACCTGGGAACAGACCAGGCTCAAGGGATTTAAACTCAGGGCTGATTCTTCCTCCAAAAGCAATGGATATTCACAGAATCACAGAATAATGAGGTTGGAAGAGACCTCTAAGATCATCAAGTCCAACCTATGCCCTAACACCTCAACTAGACCATAGCACCAAGTGCCAAGTCCAGTCTTTTTTTAAACATATCCAGAGATGGATTCCACCACCTCCCTAGGAAGAAAATTCCAGTATTTTATCATTCTTTCAGTGAAAATTTTTTTCCTAATATCCAATCTAAACCTTCCCTGACGTAGCTTGAGACTGTGTCCTCTTCTCCAGGGCTTGCCCACAGCTGCTGGAGCTCAAGGAAGAGCAGTGAAGCACAGAGAGGAATGGAAATGTGGTGAACTTATTCTGGTGTGGGGCATGGCAAAGAGAGAGACATAGTGAGGTCTGGGTCAGGTAAAATAACATTGCTTTGAGTGGAAGGAAAGGGCAAAGGGAATAATCTGGTGGAGGTGGTCAGCACAGCCTCTGCTCACTGGCAGCAGAGCTCAGGAAGGAGGAATAAACCACAGAAAGTCTGGGATACATACAGCTTTCCCTGGGGGTCCTGGGATTCCAGGTGGGCCTCTGTATCCAATGTCACCCTGCAGAGGACAGACAACATTGTGAGGCTGGGCTTGGCAGAGGATGAAGTAACAGAATCCCCACCTTGTACCACAGCCTGAGAAAGCACAAAAGCCCTGGACAGACACCCTGGAAAGACACCCTGTATCTCGTGTAAAAACATCCCACTCTGAACAATGGGTTTTTCCTCTGGATCTCCCCACCTTTGTACCTCTGATACACTGATACCATTCATGGCCTTGCTATCTTGATAACACCCTTATTCCTAAATAAATGCATGACTTCATCCAATTCAAAACCTTCAGCCTCAGGGCTGCTGCTCAAGGGACTGTGACAAGAGCCCAAAGCCTCAGTGAGCTGGAGATTGACCCTGTTCTCACCGAGGAGCCCTTTTGTGTCCTGAAAACCTTTGTCCATCAGCGATTCTTTGACTTTTTCTTGCAAAGAGACAGAACAGAAAGTGAAATGTTCATTAAATGTTTCTCTATTTTTTTTCCCCCCAAGATTCTATAACACTGTCAGTCTTGCACCTTGGCTGGGATGATTCAGTCTGGCTGTGCCTTGGGTGTGTGGATTCTCCTGACTTTGGAAGGCTGTTCTGATGGAGGGGCTGCAGGGAACAGCTCACACTTTATACCTTTACAAGTTTCCCACTGGAATTCAGTAAGGACAAGTGCCACTGGCACCTCTCACAAGACAAACTGGTGGTGGAGAGGAAAAGGAAAAATCAGAAAATCAGGAGAAGTTTTTTCTTACTCTGTCGCCAGCTGGACCCATTGGACCAGGGAGGCCTCTTAGTCCTCTTGGTCCCTAATTAAGGAAACAAATCAGCTCAAAGTCAGTCACTGTTTGTGTAACCAAGGTGACTCCACAGTGACAAGGCCGTGGGAATGGGGGGAAGAGAAGAGCTGGGGTTACCTGCAGGCCAACACTGCCAGGAATCCCTGGAGGGCCGGGAGGGCCAGGGTTACCCTGGGACAGAAAAATCAATCAGACAGGAGAAGGGACAGCAGGAACCTGCAAACACAGCCAGGGACATCCCCATCTTATTTCTCCTTGAGCTCCCTCTCTCCCCACCTCCCTCCCTCCCAGATTTCTCTACAGAATTTGCTTCTGTGTTGTAGACAATTTCTATGTGCAAGAACATTGAGATCAGTCAGGAATTTATCCAAGTGATTAAAGCAGGGTTTTTCCTGAGCTGACATCCCTGCATGGGATCAAACTGATCCTAACATGATGGTGCTTGGAAAGATGAATCATCTTGGAGAGTCAGCACAGGGTCCTACAGGGAGAGCAGTGGAACCCAATGCACTTCAGCCAAAGTAACTGCTCCTCATTCAGCAAACAGCCTCATTCCTCCCTGCCTCCTTGAAAAAAATCCCTTATTTCTTTTGCACTGTGTTATTAAAGAGAAAAATCCTCCCCCATCAGTTTTAAATTTAAGTTTACCTTTTCTCCTTGTTTTCCTACTTCACCAGGCTCCCCTTTGTGACCGGTGTGTCCCTAGAAATAAGAGTTGTGATTTTTCACATCCCAGTAGAATCTTGTTTTAGAATTCAATTTGGTGAGACAGCTGTGAAAGCTAAACCCCACATCCCAAATGACTTTCATGGAAAACAGTCTGTAGGTGTGCTGTGAATGGAGATCCCTCCTGGGGGAGGTTAGCAGGTACCAGTGTCAGAATTGATGTAGCTCCTGCAAATGCCCAGATTTGGTTTTCCAGAGTGACTTGCACTGGTCTAAGCTCATGGTCTGGATGCAACCCTCAAACACAGATCAGGCACCAGAACTCGGTTCCCATCACCCCAGAAAATGGGGATGAGTCACTCCTGAGAACCCCATTCTGCATTTTTAACCTCCTTTTTTAAGTCATTTTTAATTCTGCATCATCAAGCTTTCAAAGAAATCCATGTCCCACTGGAAGCCTTCATGTCAGCTCTGATTCACTTGGTGTCTTGGCTCTCTCCCTGTGACTGTGGGAGAGGCCCAGGCTAATTTCAGCCATGGCAGATGTTGTTCCTCACCACGACAAAGGTCCTGTGCACCATTTGCATCATAATTGGAGAGTTTCACAGGGTTTTCCATTTCTATGAATTTTGAGCAGCTATCCCTAAACATTCTGTATTTGTAATGATATTTATGCCTCAGTGCACAGCCCAAACAGACAGGGAAAATGAGAAAGGTCACTTCAGGAGGAATTGAGAGCATTTCCCAGGAGTTCTCCCACTCACTGCCAACTTCTAAATCCTGCTAAAAGAACTTGAGTCATTTTTTACTTTGTCTCACTGCTGGAGTCAATAACTGCAAAGACTTCATGTGAACCATAGAGGGGACAGAGGAGGAGATGTTTAACTCCTGAGGGCTGAAAATTTACATACCAGAGGCCAACAAAATAATTCTATTTAAAATATTTAAACATAAATCTGCCTGCTGCTACACTGGCTATAAAAACAACAATTAAATTGTATTATTTTAATTATGTAAGTTACGTTTTGCAGTTTAAGAACTGGTGAGGTTTTTTTCAGCTCTCAGAGATGGAAAGGCAGCCCTGAAATGCTTGCAGGGGTTTTTTATCTATGCCAAGGGTTAAATTTCATTTGTAGGAATAAATGCAAATGCATGGCTGCTTTGGGAGGTGTGGAGCCTATATATAGAGACTGCATATACAATTTAATGCCTTCATGGTGGTGTTTATTTTGGGAGGCAAATCTGGAATTGCAGGAGATGTTTCCTTACCTTGAAGCCTGGCATTCCTGGGGGGCCTGGGGGACCTGGTGGGCACAGAGCTGGGCACTGCAGGAACAGGAACACTTTGGTTTTACAGGCACACAGCACACCCAGGGAGGCTGGCTTTGTCCATGAGGTGAAAAACTCATGTGGATTTTGGCTCTAAATTCACTAAATCTAATGGAGTCACAGCTTAATGGATTGACCAACATTTCCCTGTGCAACGGGGTCCTCGAGGTCCTGGTACCCCACAAAATAATGATTTATGAATGGCCTATTCCACTTGGAACATGGACTGTGAGACTTCCTGAAAGCTGAGTGTCCACAGCCCAACATGCTGAAGAACTCAGGTTTCCCAGTGAAGCTGGAGCAGTTTCTTTAAACCATTAGGACCATATTTAATCCTCTGCATTAACTGACCCCTATTGATTTCCTTTAGCCAACTCCTTAAGTGAAACAAGGACAGGCATCAGAGTTAACTGAAGGGCACCAATAAAAAACCAATACCTATAAGCTGATATCATGTCCAGGGGTGGGAGAGGCCCTGGTGGGAAGTCCAGCTTGACTGGGAACAGACCAGAACATGCATGGAAATGGAATAGAGGAAAAGGCCATACTCTTGAAACTTCATAAATATCTCTTAATTTCTTTTGTTCTTTGTTATTTTTTTCTTTTAATACAACTTCAGGCAGCACCTCTGTAGCAAAAATGTAATTTTCTAGTATATTCCACAGGGTAACTTAAATTTAACACGCAGAAATAGCATCATTTCCTATTAACTCCCATGTGATGTGCCATAAGGCAGTCTAAACTGACTTGGAGCTTTTTTTGGGACACGCCAATTACAAAACCAGAGAAGCTGTCACAACAACAGCTGTGAAATCTGCAAATGTCACTTCCATCATTCCTGGACCCAGCACTCCTTTCAGTCCCCTGAAAGAAAGGGATCAAGGCTTTCTCCTAAGGAAGGAGCCTAAACAAAGCCCATGGAAGCAGGGCCACCATCCCTGGAAACAAACAGTGCTGCACAACAGCCTTTCCTGCAGCAGAGCAGGACTGGAAGCATGGAAAGCTGGGGCTGTTTAGCTAGCACATGAAGAATTCATGCAAAATGTGCATTTTGGGAAGCAAAAATTGAGGACAAAATAAAAGACTGGCTTGGGTTGGAAGGGACCTTAAAGCTCATCCCATTCCACTCCCTGCCATGGCAGGGACACCTTCCACTATCCCAGGTGCTCCAAGCCCTGTCCAGCCTGGCCTTGGACCCTTCCAGGGATGGGGCAGCCACAGCTTCTCTGGGAAATCTCTCCCAGTGCACATCTGCCTCCCTGAATAAACATTTCAGTCCAGTAAACACACACCCCGCTCTGATAAGTTGGTTTAAATCCATATCTACAGCTCTAAGCAGTGCATGTTAAATGTTCTGACATTCCCCCAGCTGTGCCAACCAAAAGTCACATCAGGGATTAAACCAAAGCATATTTTCATGCTACATAAAGAAAAACCTACCTGAAGGTCCCCACCGCCATCAGGAAGGGCCCCTGGGAGACCCTGCAATTCAGGGAATGGTGGCTTTTAATACAAGACAAACACCAGGAGGAAACAGAATTTCTAGGACAATTCTTACAGACCCAGCTCAGCTGGATCAGCACAAGGCACATGCTCAGCCCCACAGCCCAAAGTGCTGCCCCTGAACCTGGAGTGTTCTGAGCTGCATCAGTCCCCAAAACCAGACACAGCAGGGGTGAAACCATCCCCTGGAGATGCCCAACTGGGCTTGGGAAGACTCTTAGATGATGAAGGCAGCAATTAGAGAAGAGCAGCTGTGCCTGGCTTCCTCCTGGCCTCGGGAAAGACCTCCCACTCCCACTGTCCAACACTCCAGAGTGGCCACAGCAAACCCAAAGCAGGGACTTGGTTCAAGTGGCCACTTGCTGGCCCTACAAGAGCAGCTCCCGATCCAAGCAAGCACAGAAAACCTTCCTTGATAGAACAACAAGCCCACCCCATGCCCTGTGTGCCATAAAGGTGGGGTTCATTGGCTCACACAGAGCACAAATAACAAACAGGAGATCATCAAAGCATCCACGAGCAGCCAGGGAAAAGTCCCTGCTCTCCTCAGGGCATGGTGTTTGCTGAATGTTCTTGGCAGTGGCAACAAAAACAGGGCAGCAAGAAGAAAATTGCAGACTCCCCCCGGGAATTTTCTCACATTTATTTGCAAGTCTCAACTTACAGGAGGCCCAGGTGGTCCAGGAGGCCCTGGGAATCCTGGCAGACCAAAAGGTCCCTAAAAGGAGAGAAAAATAGTAAGAATTCCCTTTCAATGCAGATGCAAAGGGATGCGAGGGGTGGCTGCCAAAATATCACTTCAGAGAGAGGCAAGAGACAAAAATTTAACTCATTCTTCTGTGATTGTGGCACATTCAGTAAATGAGAATTAAATAGTAGAAAAAACTCACAGAAGGGCCCCGAAATCCATGTCCCCCTGGGAGCCCACTGGGTCCTGGAGGCCCCTGTTGAACAGAGAGAAGAGCTTTTACATCTGGGGTGACCTGGGCACCCCAAAACCAGTGATGCCTTGAGAGGCTGCCTAGAACAGAGGCTAGACACTGTTAAAGGAACAAAGTAGGGACTTTTTAAAGGCCTTCAAAGGATGCACCTTGGGCCTGGCCATGGCTACACCGAGGTGGACCCCGAGTCACAAGTTCTCAGACTTTTTATAAGTTTTGGTCCATTTCTGTATTGGGGTTAAATGTCCAATTACAGCTGCAGGTTATGAAGTCCCATCCTCTCAGATTGTTTCCCTCAATTTGCTGTTGTTTATACATTTTGGGGCTGGAGCTGTAATGGTGTCCTTGGTTCTGGGGCTGGAAAAGGATTGGTGTGACTGAACTGTGAGGAGAGCTTGCTAACACTCTGTATGAAGTTCAGTTATACACTAATGCAGTACAGAATTTGGGAAATATGAAAGGTAAACTCAAGGCATCAGCTGGGCTGTCCCCATTTGCCCAATCCCCCCAGGGAGCTCCATCCTGCACCACACCAGCAGCTTCCCAACGCACATTTTGCTTTTTCCTCCACGTTCCCCTGGAATTCACTGCCAACCTGCATCCCTCAGGCACAGGGCAGCTCCCAGGAACCCACCCAACAAAAGCTTCCACTGTTTATGAGGCTGCTGTGCCTTGAATTTACAGCAGAGCCAGCTTCCCCAGGGTGGGGCAAGGATAAAAACCCCACAGGGTCAATGATCGGCAGGACTCCACGTCCCTCTGCCTGGCACAGAAGGACCTGAGGCCTGGGGTGGGTTTGCAACATTCAGGGTATCAAACAAAATCAGAATCTTAATTTATAATTTTTTTTTCAATTCTTATTACTTACTGGAGGTCCTGGTAGTCCTTTGCCCTGAAAACATTTGAAACAGTAAAAGATCACTCAGAAACTGAGCACACAGGAATAAAAGACAACCTCAAAAAACACTGATAATTTTTTTTTGTTCTAAGTTTCCTTATCACTCCCTTGCCCCTAATGATTATAATTTGCAATCAGAGCAGAGTCTTGATGAATTCTTTTGTTGCCTCTAATAAATTGTATTCCCTTTCCATCTCTGTTACCTATGAGATGTGTGAGAAAAGAGATGTGTGGTGACACAAGAGTGGGACATGGAGAGGAAGACAACATTCCAGTTTATCTATTTCTCCTTTTCCTTTTAATTTTGATTAGACATTACATAATGTCTAATAATTGTGATATTTGATATGTCAGTCTGTATCCCAAGCTGGTTTGCTTTTAGAGCACCTTGGAGAATAAACCCAGGTCTGTGTTACCAGAACAGGTCACACATACATATTTTAACATTTCAAACAACATATTCACTCATTCAGGCTTTGATCCTTTTGTTTGGGATACAAAGCTTCCCATCCTTTCTTGGAGATGGTTTTGGCACAATATTCCACACTTTCATCACATGTGCTGCTCTGGGAGGTACTTACAGCTGGTCCAGGTGGCCCAGCAGGTCCTAATGCACCCTGTGGGAATAAAACAGGATAAAAATTAGCAGGGATAAAAGAAAAACCTCCACATGGGGAGTCACCAAGGCCTGCTCTCCTTGACATCTTTGCTTGGAAACTCCAGCAGTGTCTTGCAGAAACAAGACACAACTGGAGATATTCAGCTAAAGTCACACATATAAGGACAAAAACGTATGGATAATTACTCTGGAAGTCCCAGCTGGCCTCAGATGAATATCTAAATAACCTCCATGAATATCTAAATGTTCATAACTTGAATTCTATCTACTTGAAATATTCTCATTCATAATACATTCATATTGTAGATCCAATTACTAAGTTTCCTAAAACTATTAACAAAATTTGTTCTAGTGAATTTTATTAATTCATCTATTTTCCTTTCAAGCAAAGCCAAAGATTTGGCAGCTTCTTCTTCTTCTTCACTTGCTTCCTTGGCAAATCCCCCATCTCCTTTTCCCAATTTTGTTTTCACTCTTAGGCTTGACTGGAGCTTGGTGGGCTCATGGCTTAGAATTAAGTCACTCTTGAAGCTGTGAAGCTCCTGCTTGGCTGAAGATAAGAACACAGAGAGACCTCCTGACCCCTGTGCTGCATTGCAAAGCTGCCAGCTGGCCAGCAGGCTGTAAAATTCATTATGGGTGATAATTCTGAAACAGCATCCCAAAAAGGTTTGGGTTGGAAGGGACCTTAAAGAACACCTCATTCCACCCCTTGCCATGGACAGGGACAGCTTCCAGGGGACCAGGGTGCAGGACAAAGCTTCCATGGCCTCTCCCCAGCACAAACCTCTTTTCCAAACATCCCCAAAATGCTGCACAGCAACATCTTGAGCAGATTTCCTGAGCTGGAATTGAACAGTGTCTGCCCCTGGGGCCAGGAGAAGGAGGTGGATGGAGAATATCCAACACACAGAGCTCCCACTGTGCCCCCAGGGATGGCACCTGCCCTCTGCTCATGTTCTGTGGCCAAAGGAGCTCAGAAATGTTTTCCCTTGTTAAGCTTAAGGAGAAAGACACAAAGGACCCAAGGCCTTGTTAAGAGTGGTCTTGTGAGCAGAGGACAGTAATCCAATAAAAATCAGCTGTGCTGTGAATGTCAGCTCAATCATTTCTCCTGCTGCAGGTTACTCTGCTCTGCCTCCAGTCACTTTTATCTGCCGGCTAAAAATCCTCCCAGCTGCTGCTGGCTGTGAGGGACAAGCTGGGATCTCCTCCTGCAAGGAAAACATTGAATTCCTGGCACTTCTGACTTGCACCCTCGTTCTGAAAGCAGCTGCATTGTCCCTTTCTGCTCTGTCCAACAGGCCAGAATGATGGCAGAGCACCCCAAATTCCAAATGTTGGCTCTTTACACTCCCTAATTTTGATACACTGGAGGGTGTAAGGTGCAGAATGCAGCAGAATGAACATTCCTGGTAAGGTAAGAGATCATGAAGTCCCTGAATGAGCTGATGCTACTGAATTAAGGCAAAGACTCTAATTTACATCTCAATTTTAATAACATTGTCTCACTCGACTCATTCTCCTGATAACAATGTTCTTTCTCTTTTGATTAGAAAACACTATCACCACAATTTTTCATTTTGTAGTAATTTACTCTCTGTATAGACAGCTATGGAGCGTAGAAAACACTTGATTATTATGACATTCATAAATAGAAGTGAATAATTATGTTTTCCTTATTGCTTTCATTGGAAAGCAACAAACTTCAAAATGGCTTTCGAGAAGTTTCCAATGAAGGACACCAGTATCTAACATGGAAGTCAGGAGCCAGCTCAACCCCAGCTAAAAATAAAGGGGTTTTAAAATTGAAAAAAACAAACAGACTTGATCGAATCAGTCTTTAAGCAGAAGCAGGAGAAAAGCTAATGGATGCAGGAAATATTTAAGATAAAAATGTTTTTGGAAATGTTTGGCAATAAATTATTACTGAAAACTGGCTTCCATGAGCCCACTTCCCTATGCTAAACAGCTTTACTCTCAGACACTGCAGTTCAAAAAATTAAGCTTATTAGAAGAAATCAGAGTGTTAAGCATGAATTCACACCCACAGCAATAGTAAACACCTTATTTCAGTGAGTCCTGCAAGATTGAGATATGTTCTACAGGACAGAGAGAAAAAAAGCTGGGCTAACAATGCTGTCCATTTAGAGTGCTAAAGCATCCTGAGGTCTTCCCTTTCCCCAGGTTTTTATCAGACCAATTAAAACAATTTCCCAGATGGACCACTGACCTTGAAAAGCTCCCATAAATGATGAGGGGTCTCAGGCCTGCCCCTGACTGAGTTACAAGAAATGGGAGAGCCCAGCAAACCCGAGCACGCAGCGAGGGCAGCTCTGCCTGGGGCTCCTGCCCGGCAGCCAGAGAGGAATTTCTGTGCCCAAAAATTATCTGCTCAATTACCCTGCATACAGGGCAGGAGGTGTGTGCTAACGTGGGCATGGGCAAGCACTGCCACCCAGCCCAAAACAGGGCACAGAACTGCTCACAGCCTGCCACGGATGGCCCTGAGCTTTCCTACTTCAAAAATCAGGGATCAGTTCCCAGATGCTGCTGGCTCTTGCCACAGAATGTCTGAAAGCAGCCAGGATTTTGCAGGCCTGGATTTCTGGGGATAAAGAGGGGCACAAAGGACAGAAAAGGAGTGGGGTTTAGGGTGGTGGTGATGGACAGAGGCTTGGGGCTGTGACCAGGATGTTTGGGTCCTGCCACTCAACTTTGCCGGTGGCCACACAAGCTTTAGCTTTGCCTGTCACATGGCAAAGGAAGAAGAGCATATCACAAATACAGTGTTGTACTGCTCATCCCCTTAAATAACTCGCAAATATGTTTAGATTTGAGTAAGTCCTTGGGCCAACAAGTGGATTATTGGGACATACTGAACAGGTTACAGAATTCCAGCCCATCACTGCAGCCCTGAGTCCAAGAGCCCAGCAAGCCAGCTGTGGACACAAGCCTTATCTTGCCTTCTGGGAGACAGGAGAATAGCCATGCTGCACCACAATCTGTGCTGAGTGGCTCATTAATGATTATTCCTTAATGTCACAGGCAGGCCTAAGAGGGGGTGATGACTGTGGCTGATCTGAAGGACATCTGTATCATCTCTGGCTGTTGTTTCCCTGTCCCTGTGGTGCCCCTCAGCAGAGCTAGAATATGCAGAAAGCACAAAAACCTCTTATTTCTTGCTAGGCTGGCTGGGGAGCACTATGGCAACTAATAATGCAATCATATGGACAGTTCCAGAAATAATAAAAGGCAAAAGTTCAAACAATTAATACACAGTAGCATTAATTATAAACAACACAGATCTGCCAACTCGGACTGCAAGTAAAGGCCAAAATCACTTTGATAAACTTCACCATGGAGTCTGTTGACTGCTTCAAGAAACTTTTTGGATACTTGAAATATCCCCAGTACAGCCACCACTGAGGCAACCCAAAGCCATGTGAAAGAAAGGTGGAGTTCATGTCCTGCCTAATGAAAAGCCACCTGGGGCTGCATTTCGAGGGTCCAAGTATTCTGCAAAGATTTACATCAAAACCATCACTTGAATATCACCAATTTACAGCAGAATGTGAAAATCATCCCTACCATCAGTGACAATGACCATTTAATGACTCAGGATTTAATGAGGTACTCACACGGTCTCCTGGAGGCCCATTTGGGCCAGGTGGGCCATCAGTTCCTGTTAAACCCTGTGAAAAAAAACCCCAAAAGATCAACAGAGTGCCATCCTGTCAGCAACACATCTCAAAATTGTTCTCATATTCCTTAGTTCAGCCTAGAGCTGCTTCTCCTTCCATTTCTCCTGTTGTGCAAGACACAGAGGTAGGGCCAGGGCCCCCATTCCTTCTCCAGCAGGCACAGAGAAGGTTGATGAGACACAGCAGGAAAACACTCCTGCCTAGCTGAAAGGCTTAAAAAACCTAAGAGAAGATGCCACAATACTCACATCCACTCCAGGCAGGCCAGGCAATCCAGCTTCACCTGCAGCTCCAGGCTTCCCTGGTGCACCTTTTGGCCCCTACATGAGATAAACAGTCAATCATTATAACAAAATAACAAGAGAAAATGGCAAGGATGCAAGCTCATGTGTTGATGTGTTAATCTTACACCATGCAACATGGGAGAATCCCATGAAAACAGGTGAATCTTGCTATGAATCCATATCCAAATCCCAAATTTCAGTGCTTTGGCTCATTCCCATGTGCTCACAAGCTGTTCTTAGTGGGGATAGGAAGGGATGCAGTGAGTGGCCAAGGCAAAGGGTGCAGTTTTGAGCACCCCTTGGCAGCCTGAGGGGCTGAAGCAGACTCAGGGCAGTGCCAAAAACAACAACCACATAACGTGGATTGGTGCCATGACACCTGTCACCATACAGGTGATGCACAAGCTTTATCTCACTTATCCATTAATTTAACTTTCATTCTATTTCACTGGTAGCAATGAAGGTGTTTGCCCCCTGGGGCAGTGCTGAGCATCCCCACTCCTGGGAATTCCGTGGCAGATGAAGAGGAAAGCGAGGCTGTGAGTGCCAGCTCGTGTCCTGTGTCCTCTTGAAAGGATGGACAAGTCAGTATCAAGCAGGAAATACTTACTGGTGGGCCTGGCAAACCAGGAGGGCCTGGCTCTCCCTAGAGGAAAGGGAAGAAAGGGTTAGTGCTGAACCTTTGCTGACTTTTTCCAACAAGGGTGTTCCCAAGTGCACTCAAACCTCTCCTCGTGCCCACTCCAAGATTTACCTGGCTCAGCCTCATGAGCTGATGCTCTAAACCTGCTACCCCCTAAGCAGGATGAGCCTGGGTAGCCTTCTCCAGCATCTGCAGTAGCAGATTTGGGGAAATCCACATCCCCAGCCACTGTGGCAGAGAGAGCCACAGCTCCTGAACAGCCCCCAGAAGTTTCAACTTCTTCCAGACATAGTTAGAATTTATTTGCACTTGGGACTGGCAGCAAGTGGGGCAGAGAGGAAGCTGGATGGGTGTCACAGCTTCCAAACATCTTCCTGGTGAAACAGAGGGATACAGGGATAAACTCCAGCTTTCCAGGGCACAGTATGGAGCTGTGCTACTGCCAACAGCTGGGGATTACCACAAAGTGAAGAATGAACAAATTGTCTACAATGATTTTCTTCATATGACTAAACTTGGACAGGGAAAGCAAACAAGCACAGCCCCCAGCTGATTCCCACCTAATCCAATTGCACAATCTGGATTAAACACAATTTTCATACAATATTTCAAAAGCACTCTATTTTTTCTCTAGTGTAATAAAAAGAAACTTTTTAGAACAGCATTAAAGGTGTTTGTGAGACAACATTTTAGAAGTCTTTAATCACTTCCTCCAGCTCAGCCAGTTGTAATGCCATTCATAAGTCTGTGTGTGGACCCCAGACAAAAATTCGTATTTTATTGTTAGGCCTCAAAAGAAGCAAACATTTGTGACAGCAGGAGCTCGACTGGAGCTTGCTTTCCAACTCATCCCACAGAAAAACACTTTGTGGCCCAGTCCAGAGCTCACCCTGCCCTCCTGGCTTTAGGGTAAGTGCACTGAATATTGTGAGAGGTGCTGTGGGTGAGCAGAAGGGAAGGGGCAACCCAGGAAGGAGAAAAGCACTGTGAAAGAAGCGTGGTTATAACAGAGCAAGGCTGGAAATAACACCATCCCAGCACGGGGCTGGTAATGAGGAGGCAGGAGGTGTGTGCAGGGCTGTGGGATTTGCAGATGTTTCTATATTTACTGGGAAGGCTGTGGGCAAATCCCTCCAGGCTGGAGCTGCTCAGGATTTATGTCCTGCACCACTGACCGACCAGAGGGTCCCTGAACAGAGGCATCTTTATGCTCTGACTTGCTGAAAACTCCTTCAGTAGCCTTTGCCCACAGCTTTTCCATAAATAGTTATCACAGCACAGCTGGGGAAGGTTCCCTGCCCAGGAAATGAAAGGAACAGTTATTTGGAAATGAAAAGGCAGCTGGAAATGGCTGTAGGGGTGGTTTGCTCCTGGGATTTACCAGCCCCTTGCATTTTTCCTTGGGAACCTGCACAGGGAGGTCACAGCACCAGCAAAGGCTGCTGGGGACCACCTTAAACCTTGATCCTGCCCTGGTGGAGCCCTGCAGGACTCTGCAGGAGCACCAGAACTTCAGAGAGCTGGTTGCAAAGCCTAATCAGGGTATGTACCCCCAGTGATCACTGGGAATTAGAGCAAGGGCTGTCAGCAAAAGGAAATGCTCTCCTGGTGCTATGTGACAGAGCTATGTGGAAGTTTAGTCTTTCTCAGCAAGTCAAGCCAGGAGACAGAAAGCAGAGGAAAAAAAAAAATTGATTTTTGAAAAGTGACAATTGCTTATTAGCAATTTAGGGAATTACATCTCCAGAAATAATTCACAGGAACTTGTCACTAATTCTTTCCATCAAAACATGCTGTTTCTGGTCTTAGGAGAGAGATTTTGCTTGTTACTGGGTATGAAACGAGAAGCTTGTTAAAGGCTTTAATTATAAAATATTTCAGAGGGACTTAATGTTGCAGCTGCCCCTGAAAGGCAGGGATGAAAGCTGGACCTTTGAGAAATTGTGCTGATGGAGTTCATCCAAGGAGATATCCTGAATAATTCAGCTGCACGCTCTGCACCTCTCAGTGCTCACAGCTGATGGCAAGAGACTGCTGAACACCTCACCCAGCTCAAAGACATCCAGCAGCACTTCCACACCACTTTCATCCAAAGTCACCTGACATGATGATCTGGCTTACAGAGTTCAGGAATACAGTGCAGAAAATTTTCAATTACAAAAAAAAAAAAAAAATCTCAGCACAAAAAGAAAAATAAAATAATGGTTTCAATCTGCAGTGGCATAATTGATACTGCCACTCAGGATTCACATGACCCTCCACACACAGCACTAGGAAAATGCAGAGCAGTGCTGAATTTTTTATACCATCGTTTTTTTTGGAGTGTACTGACACAAAAAGGGCAGCTCATAAGCAGGGAGGCTGTGTGCCTCTGCTCAACACCAGTCACAGCCCAGCATCTCCTCCTGTGCAATTCCTGAGAGGACTCCATTTCCTCTTGAAGAGCAGGAACCATCCTGGAGCCTGCCCTGGACAGCCAGACCACCTCACCTGAGCAGGGCACCTGACATCCTCTATCCGGATGAGGGATGCCCTTCAAGGCTGTTCAAATTGGAGACTATTTCTGTGTAGCCAAAACTCCAGACTGAAGCTGGGACTGCAGGACTTTGCACCTTAAACACTTCACTCAGCCATTTGATGTATTAGGACTAAGTTCTTCACATTAATTAGATGTTGTTATTTGATCCTGTCCCACGGGGAGCCTTCCAAAGATTTTAGTAGTGGATAAAGGGGTGCAGGTCCACATGACTGACACCTCCCTGGGCTCCTGTTTCCAAAAGCAATTAGAAGCCATGCTGGCGCTGTTCCAGAATTAAATATCCTGTAGAAAGCAGGAAATGAACAACTACAGGGTTTCTTCCCATTTCCTCTCTGCAGAAGGTGAAACTCAAAGTCTGAAGGGCTTCATCCTTCCCAAACTCTTCTTTTTGCTTCCACATTGATCACAGCCATCCTTTCCCAAAGCATGCTGGCACAGCAATGCCCTGCTGCAGGGACTCTGCTGCAGATGGGAACCAGTGTCCTCTGCCCTCTCCTGGGGTGTCCCCTGAAGCCTTTTGTGACACCACGAGAAGCAGCTGGAAGCTGCCGAGGTGCCAGCTCTGAACATCTCTCTCTGAACCACAAAACCAGAGGGAGATTCCCAGGAGTACAGACTCCTTTAGCCAAAAGGACACTCAGAGGGAGCAGCTGGAAATCAATGAGGTTCTCTCTTCAGCCCAGCCTGGCTCAGGGAGCTGCAGGGAAAGCTCCCCACTGCAGGCACAAACACTCCTTGTTCACCGTGTACCAGGGAACTCGTACATTTTTTTTTTTTAACCTCCTTATTCAAAAGAAAATGACCTGCATGGAATGAATAGATTTTTTCAAGGTTGCTTAAGGGCCCAATTCCAATAAATGTACTTCAGATGAGTTTTAAAAACCGCTGCACTATTCCATAGGCAGCTCAGAGAGACAAGGGCTGCTCAAACTGGAAATTGAAGCAGGAACCAAGATTTTGCATTTGATGTGCTCTTGCTGAAGGTCCATCTGATGCTCATTATATCCACTGCCAACTACAGGATACAATTCAGTCCTTATCCAACAGATGCACAGAAGCAATTTTTTAATTTCTATGGAAACATCAATTAAAAGTAACAGAACATGATTTTCTCCTCCATTAAGTCCTGGGTTATGTAGTCTTCTCCCTCTGCAGGAGGTGTAAGGAGCTGCCTGCTGAAACAAAGGCTCTTCATTTTATCTGTCTTTTGGGCCACTACAAACTCGAGTCTGGCAACACAAGAGCCAGATCCTGATACATCATGTGCCAAAAGTGAGGGGTAACCATGATGACAATATTGAAATAAAACTAGTAAGACAAAAACAGTGTCCAGTGCTGTATATTTGAGTCTCTTGTAGCCTCTCTGGAAATTCAGATGCTCTGAAGCATCACACAAGTCTGCCTTTGAACTGCTGAACGTGCGCTGACCCCACACACATCGTACCCCTGCACTCAACCTTGCACAAAAAGAGAAATATTCTACTTTGCAAGCAGGGTCACAAAGGCCTGATCTCTCCCTGGAGACAGGGGGTTGATCATGCAAAGAACCTGCTCAGCACCTCCACTGGCAGTTCAGCCTCCTGCAGAACGAGGACAGTGATTTTCCAGCTCCATCCCCCAGGGATGTCCAGAGGCTGTGGATCTGGAGAGCAAGAGCAGCTTCTCTGCCCCAGGCTCTGCCCCTGCCCCACCCCTGGCCCGAGCCAGCCCTGTGCCACTCACATCAATGCCGTCCTTGCCAGATGGTCCAGGGGGTCCAGGGGGTCCAGGAGGGCCTTGTGGTCCAATTCTTGGAAGGGACTGGGGAAAAGTGAGAGACAAGAGCTTGTTTTTCCATCAGAAGGAACATATGTGCTAGATCAGAAATCAATGGTCAAGTCCTGAACAGCTTCACCCTAAATCTGCACCCCCTGCCAGCCTGGGTGGGCTCAGAGTTGCTCCAGAGCAGCACAAGGCTCTTTGGAAAACCCCTCTGGCTGAGCACATCTCCAGCTCCTTTTACTGGTGGCCAATACTGGGAATGCAAACTGGACACTGGGCAGCAAAGGGGTTTTGTTCTATAGGAAATTGTTCTGACTACAGGCACGTTTTGGGTTGGGCAGAGGAGATGCAAAGCCCATGGAAAAGGTGCCAAGTACTTGGTAGAAATAATTAATTTATAGCTCCAGTCTGATGCCCCAGACACCAATGGAGACAGGAGGAGAAAGGGAAAGGGAAACTCTCCTCTCTTGAGCAGGGTGCCACTTGAAAATCTGGGATTTTGGAAAGGTCTGAGGTGGGGGGAAGGAGAGAAAGGTCTAATAAATGACTTCTGTGTGGAGAGGGCTCCAGAGAGCAACTTACTTAGCTTCAGGGAACAAAGGTTTCATTGTAGAAGCAACTCTGCTCACAGCAGAGTTCTGAATTCCCAAGTCAGGCTGTGAAAATTCCTCACTAACAATGAAAAACTCACTGAGGAGTCACTTCCCCAGACAATAATAATATTAACACCAGACAGGGAAGTTTAATACAGCTTCATGTCTCAAGTGAGCAAGGGTTAAACATGCTGTAAAACCAGAAAACTGATTGAGGGAATGAGTAATAAATTCTGATTCAGATAAAGACCCAGATCAGATAGGATTCGCTGGAAATCTGTTACTTCATTGTAAAAGCAAACTGTTTCTCTTGCATCAACAGATCTTCCCTTTCCAAGGCTTTCCCTCTCATAATTGCAGTCCTGAATGGGAAAACACCACTTCTACAGAAACAGAAAGCAGCAGTTTTTACACCTACCCACACAGGTACAAACCCAGGCACACATTTGTAATAAACTTTAGAATAATAACCTGCCTATTGCCACGTTTCACCCCACAGGTACAACACACAAAGATCACTCTTTTTCACCCTTACAGCTTTTTCCTGGAGCACGAGACACAAACGATGTTTCTCACCTGAGCTGATGCTGTGGCCAAGAGCTGACACAGGGAGAGGAGCCCAAGAGCAGAGATTCCAGCCATGGTGCCCAGGCTCTGCCTCTCTCCTTTTCCTCCGGGGCAGCCAAACCCTTTCTCCTCCAGGGTCCAGCAGATCCCTCCTCCTCCTCCCGGCTCTCAGCTTACACAGCAGACACTCCTCGCCTCCAGATAAACCTGTGGCTCCAGCTGGAGCAGGGCGAGAGGGGCCGAGCTTGGAGGAGAGGAGGTGGAAGGAGGGGGAGCAGCAGGCAGCCAGCAGCTCTTTCATGCCCTGCTGGGCAGCCCCATCCTCCTGCTCCAGGAGCTTGGGGAAGGGCTGGACTGGGAGGTGGGACACAGGAGCAAAGCTGGGTTACTCCAGCTGCAAATACAAAGCTGTTCCTTAGGTCTCACCCAGGACATTTCCCAAAGCCCATCACCACCTCTGTGCTGGAGAGGTAAAAAGCAACACAAGGTGAGTTTTTCAGTGCCTGAGGCCACCTAACTCCAGCAGGGACATTACTGTAACAGGGCACGATGGCTACAGAGAAATGCACTTACTGCTTAGCGAGGTGCTTTGGTAGCTCTGAAGTTGTTCACATCTGGTTTCAGGGGTTTTTTTTAGGGTGATCTGAAGAGCACTGATTCCTTGAGAAGTGATGAATGCTGGTCAGAAAACAGACAATCACAGACAGATACAAGGAGAAAGGAAAAAGGAGGAAAATTCTCAAAGGCACAAAGAAATATTTGAAATACTGCGAGGAAGGAAGAGGAAGACAGTTCCCTGCCTGGTGAGCCCAAGTGGAAAGAGATTCATGAAGAAGCATCTCCTGCAATGAGCCTCACTATTGCCTTTATTGATTAAAGACAATTCCATCCAAAGCAGAACTTGGAAGTGGAGAGGAACAGTGGCCAGATTCCTCAGGGCTGAAACGACACAGCTCATCTGGTTAGGAACACAAGAGGAAAAGTGGAAAATCAAAGCTTAGGAACTGAAATACCTGATTTTAGCTTGACACCTTTGCAACAGGAGGCTTGTAGGAGCACACAGTGTTTGTCTGTCCAGCTGCCCAGCAGCCAGTATTCCTAAAGCTTTGGCAGAGGGATAAAGGACTCAGATTCACCAAGCTCCCAGAGTTTTCTGTGGAACAGGCAGCTGGGGACAGAAAGGGAATGTGTGTCTCTAAGTCTTCTGATGGCTTCAGTCACTGGAATCCTTTATTACACACCCCAAACCCCAGAGGGAGAGCAGCTTTGCACAGCTTGTACCTCCTCCACACTGAGGCAAACTGGTGGCAGGAGGGAAGGCAAAGGAGACCCAAATTCCTCAGCCACACCTTGTCAGGAGCAAGGCAGGGCTTGGGGGGCTGCAGCAGCTGGACCTGCCCATGGCCAGCACGGGAAGGGCTGGGACTGTTCACCTTCAGGAATCCCACAGACCAATGGATTTCCAGTAAACCTCTCGTCCCACACCCACAGGCAGCACAGCTGAGGGGACACAGGGACTTAGAGGAAATGTTACCATAAATACACCCCTGTTCTTGTGTCCTAAGGGGGAAAAACCCTGAAGTGAAGCTCCCACAGCCCAGCTGGGCAGGAGCCCCAGGGGATGCTCCCAGCAGAGTCCTGGTTTGCTCTGCAGAGCACCACAACAGCAGTGGGAGAAGAGCTGCAAAAGCACTACAAAACATCCTGAATGAAGCAGACACCCCATCCCTGAAGCGTGCAAAGCCAGGCTGGATGGGGCTTTGAGCAACCTGGTCCAGTGGAAGGTGTCCCTGCCCTTGGCAGGGAGATTGGACCAAGATAAACTTTGAGGTCCCTTCCAACCCAAACCATTTTGCAATTCTATGATTTCCAAGCACATTATTAAACAAACAGCATAGTGGGGGTCTTTTCCTCCAAAACATTCACTGGGCATCACCTCCACAGGGAAGAAACAGCAGCTCTGTGCCATGGTGAGCCCAGTAGAGGACCCACTTTCGGGAGGAACCAAGCAACAGCTCCAGGGGGGTGGGTAAATACATGGTCATATCCTACCCTCAAAGATGAAAAAATATAAATGGAAACCGATATGCATTAAAGTCATGCTTTAATAGGAGAATTAACGTAACAGACTCTGTGATACAGCTCTGAGTGCTGGCAAACACTTTGTGAACTCACCACACACACCTACAGCCAAAAGTAAACCTGGTAGGAGAGGGAAGGGGCTGGTTTGAGCACTCACTCCAGGCTGGGGATCAGAGTGAAATCCCATTAAACACAAAACCGTAACAAGATATAGGATCTATGCCCCAACTGAGCACATATTCACACTGAAAACTTCATTAAATAAGAAAATTGCTATAAATCTGTACAAAAGCCACAATTAACAGTTCTTAGGAATCTGTTAGGAAAGAATTCTCACTCAGTATCTTCAAGTATTTCTATCTGTAGTTAAGTGTATTCTTATTGGCTGTTTATCTCCATCTGTTCTTAAGAAGGAAGTATTTTAAAAACATTAAAGCCTTTTTTCAGTATGTGTGTGACCATGAACATCAGATGTTAGGCTAGCAGACTTTTATTCCCACACACATATGTGGCATGCTGGATCAGAAACTACAGTCTGAGAAGGCAAATCACTCCTCAAATTCCTCGAAATATAAAGCTGTAGCAGAGAGGAAAAACACTGACATTGCACAAACTGCTGCATCTGCTGTCTGGCCATCTCCTACACAAACCAAACAGCACCAAAGAACCTCAAAACCAACCCAAACAACCTGAGCAAACAGCAAATCCAGAACTTCAGGCTGTTGAAAACAATTTCCTCTGCTTCATGAAACAGAACCTCTGTTGTAAATTTTTAGGAGTGAAGGTGGTAAACTGTTTTAATGCTCCTTCAGACCCAGTGGAACATTGTGTAAGTGCAGCAGAAGAGCTGACAGGGAGGTCAGGAACACTGAGGCAGGCAAAGAGCTGGCAAGGTCTGAAAGTAAATTCTTGAGGGCTGGAAATAAATCAACCAGACAAGCGTAGTAGCCTCTCCAATTAACATTTCAATTAACTGCCCCACAAAGCCCAGTGGTTTCCAGACATGCTGCACTGGAACATGCCCTGGCTGCCTGACATTAAAGCCACAGGAACCTGCCCTAAGTAGGAAACAGGTTGGGTCTGACACATCAAACCTCATGCCATGGGCCTGAAGGAAAGGGCCCCCCCAGGCCACTGCAAATTACCAGCAAATGCTGAAAAAATGCACTAGGAAATATTTGTACTGCTTTGGCAACTGAGGAATGAGGGCCTCTGAAACAGTCATGGACAAAAAAAATCTGTGGAAGACTATAAAGTGGTTGGAAAACATGGGGAAGAGCAGCTCTAAACAGTTTTATACAAAACCTGGAGCTTTTTCTCTTAGAAGCCAGTAGGCAATTCGTAGTCTTAACTCTAACAAGAACTACAAACTAATCTCTGTGGGGATAAAGAGAAATAATTACTCAGCACTTTGCACCTCAGAAAACTGATTCTCTACACAAAGGTTCATACTGGTCAGAGACATATTTTGGCTACAGTTTTTATCCCAGTTTAGAGCCAAACCTACTTTCGTTATAGGAGGAGAGGCAACTACACTGACATCATGTGAAATCCATATATTCATGTCTTTTAAAGAAACAGCGCTTTTGCCAGGAAAAAAACTCCTGGGAAGGTACAGCCTTTCATAATAACAAACAGAAGTTATACAGTAGTAGAAAGGCCTGGCAAATTAGGTCATGCTGTCTTACATTAAAAATCATGTCTTTAATAAATACTTAGGTAATTCAAACAAGGAGACAGATCAATTTTCCCCTGCTCTTTCAGTAGGGACATAACCAGAATCAAAGCAAAGTGCAAAAATCCCCGTTGCTCCAAGATAGCCCTGAACATCAGATAAAACCCAGGAACAGGACACAGCCTGTCTATGGAAATGAGTAAATAAAGTTTTCCTCTTTAGGCTAACCAAGAGCTGGATCTCAGTGAGTTTACTAGAGATGATTAAAAAATCATGGAAGAGTGAAAGTGAGACAGGGGCCAGCTGGATTTCCCAAAGGAAGTTTATTCAGCTCTCCAAACCACCAAAGCTGGCTCCCAGCAGACAGGGCAGTGCCATCTCGGCTGGCTCGGGTGCTCACTGTGCAGCTCTCACTCTGCTGCTCCCTGCTCTCCTCCAGGCTCTGTTCCATTCTCAGAGCCTTCACCTTTTTCTGGTGGGACCTCAGTTCTGTTTTCTTCAGGACAAGTGGGTGTTACACTCTGCTCATGACTCTCTGGAGCTTGCTTCTTGTCTGTGTCTTCTGCTTGCCCTTTTTCACCTGCCTTTTCCTGCTGTCCTACCCCATCTAGTTCACTTTTACCCCCTAGGATTTTGCTGTTGCAGTGGTGCTGATCACCCCCTGCTACGTCTTGATCTCCACTTGACTTCCAGCCATCCTTGATTGGAGCAGTGCAGCCAGTCCTGGGGGGCTTGGAAGCAGCTGGGGGTCTCACAGCCCCACCATCTGCATCACCACCACCACCTCCCTTCTCACTTGGCACTTCCACAGCTGCATTTTTCTCACTGCCACTTTCTTTTCCAGCCTCACCGTTAGCAGCAGATGGATTTGCCTTGGCACCAGAAGCTGAGGGCCCCATGCTCAGGTTTATGGCCAAGTTGACTTGTTTGCCTCTCAATGTCCTTTTATCAACTTTCCTGCGTTTCACAGCTGCATCCGTGGCCTCGGGCACAGCCGGCTCTTTGGTGCTTGAATCACCTTCCTTCAGTGCTCCCTGACTCTCTTCTGCCTGGGACACTGGGTCTGAGGAGGGGATCTCTGCATCAATTGCACACTCTCCCAGATTATGGGAAATGTTTTCAATATCAGCAGAGTTTTTCAATGATCCATCCCCTTTAGCATCTGCCAAACTTGCATTCAGTTTTCTCTTCTTGCTCTCCTTCGTGCAGTCATTCTCTGCAGTGCCCTGCCCTTCTTCAGCCTCACTTTTTAAATCCTTTTCCTCCAGCTGGGATAATGAAGCTTCTTTCTCCTCTTCATCATCTCCTACCTTCAAAACACACTTGCTTATCTTCTCCTTTACATGTTCATCACTCATTTCAGGCTGCAACTCTGCAGCTTTTCCAGCTTTCTGTTCCACCTCTGGAGACTGGTTCTGATCCTTCTCCACAGGATCAGCATATTCTTGACACGGAGTGTCCTGTTTCTCCTCAGGCCTTTGGTGCAGCTGTGGCTTGGCAGAGCGGGGTCTGTACTTTCGGAGTTTGTCACGAGGCCCCCACACGAAGCTGCTCTGAGGTTTGAAGTGTTGCCAAGCATAGTGGATGAGTTCCCTCCTCTTTTCTTTGCTTCTGACAGTGAACAGGAAGTAATCCAAGGCACTTCTCTTGACATTTGGTAATGTCTCCTCGACAAGAGTTTCTGTGAGGAAAAACTTCACCAAGTGCACTTGATAGTCTTCATATCCCATCTCCCCTAGGCACTTCAGGATGCGAGTAATCCTCAAATTGTTGTGGCTGAACCTGAAGGAAACAGATAAGCAAAGCTGTCAAGGGAAAGTCTTACAAGTCACTTTGAACCTCTGGGACATCTGCAAATGGAAGCACAGGTGAGCTTACTTCTAAGGCACCCACTGCTGCTGTTTGCCTTCGGCAGCTCCTTCCTAACCCTCTCTAGGCTGACAGGACTCATCATCTCAGCTGCTTGGAGAGGTTTTGGCTTTCTGAAACAGCCACCAGTAGTTAAGACCCACCATGTTGGGGCAGATACACAAGTCCTGCCCCAGTGGAGACTCTGCAGGGTAAGCCTGCAGTATTGAGAATACAGGCATGAAAGGATGCTGCCAAAACCTCAGGACTCAAGCTAGACACAGCTGGTTTTTCATTTTTTATTTTAATATTTGATGGACTTAAAGTTGTTTTTTCTTATGTGATTATGCTCACTCCTTTCAAGAGATTAGTATCACCAGGAAGGGTTGTTACTTACTCCACAAAACCTGCAATAATATAAAACCATCCCATTTGCAGAGCACTTTTCACACAAGGACTCAAAGCATTTTACACACATTAAGGGTGCTTCATAAACAATCAGGGAACCATATGGGAAGGCTTCTATTTTGTAGCTTAACAGAATAAAAGTTAAAAATACTTTAACTAGAGAACATTTATCAACAAAAGGCTCCATTCCTCAATGACTGGGGATTTCCTAGGCTTAGACTTTTTTCCCCTTTGAAGAAGTGCTTGGCTGCAGTAAATGTTCAACAGCATCAACACAATCACCTGTTCAAGTTTTCAAATCGTTCATGCCAATTCTCTGCTCTCACAAGTTCTCCAGTTTCTTCGTTGACCAGATTGATGCCATAAAATCCCAGCATGAGTTTGTAAGCACGGATAAACCTGTCCATGACTTCCTTGGACTTCCTAAAGGCCTGAAAACAAGACACAGCAATTAGAAAAAAAATGCAACTCCCTAATTACCTGCACAAATTAAGTGACACCTGAATTCTAAACAAGGGCTGACTGTATCACAAAGCATTTCATTTGCTGACACGAGACAGGCAAATGCTTCACTCTGAGCTCAGTGCACACTAAAAACCCAGGGAAACAATGGAAAAAAACCCACTAGACTTCAAATATAAGGTATTTAGATGAAATCCTAACATGCTTCAGATCTCAAAGAAAAAAAGAGACAAAAGCTTTAAATAAATACCTTGATTTCTTGACAGGTGAGTGGCCTGGCACGCCAGTTCATCCCATGTTCACGTAAAGGGAACAGCCTGAAAAGAAAGGAATTTTCAGGCCAGATGAGCAAAGATAACATCCAACCCAGGGTACCCAACTTGTTAAAACCAAAAAAGATTCCAAAATTTGTGGTATCGCAGGTAGCTCTTGGAGAACTCCCATCCTTATGGACACAGAAGTAGTTTTCTAGTAAACCCCTCCCATACAA